GTCTCTTCGGATAGTGCCAGTGAGGAAGCAGTCGATCATAAGGTGAGTGGCACTTCAGGGGTAAAGTAAAATACAAATTACTTTCGACACTTTGCGAAGAAAAAAATCATATGCATATTAGATTGAGAACTAACAGAAATTGTGCGATTTTGACAGAAAAATTGACTTTTCCAACTTTACTTCTGCGTACGTTCCGTTTATCTGACTCTTTATATTCTGCAGGCGATGGTAGAACCGATGAAGAAGACTTCAAATCTGGAAAACATGGCAGCCGCCTACAGTTCCATCATTTCTCATGTTGGTGAGGATGTAAATAGGCAAGGACTTCTAAAAACACCAGAACGAGCTGCCAAAGCTATGCTCTTCTTCACAAAAGGATATGAGCAGCAATTGGATGGTGGGTGTACGGTTCTCAATGCTATCTTACCTTAATACGGCGAATTATAGACATTCTTAATGAGGCAGTATTCGATGAAGATCACGATGAGATGGTAATAGTGAAAGATATCGAGATGTTCTCACTTTGTGAACATCATCTTGTTCCGTTTAATGGCAAAGTAAGTTTTTTTTTTCGAGAAAATTGACTTCATTTATTTGGCGTTTTAGGTACACATAGGATACTTACCGAACAAAAAAGTGCTTGGTTTATCAAAACTTGCGCGAATTGTCGAGATGTTCAGCCGACGTTTGCAGGGTGAGTATGAATATCTTCCGAAAACATTAAACTGTCTTAAGAGCTCTTTTGATTTTTCCACGAGCCCTTGCAAAGTGATTCTCTCAAAAGTCAGCCACTGTGCTTTCAAGAGCTGCCAAGCCTTCCACACCTTTTCATTACCAAATAGTGTTTTTCTCAGTTTCCTTGACGGTTTTCCAAAACGATAGTGAACACATTGGGGCTAATAAAACTTTTTCAAAGCTTCTCTGATTTCTATGGGACATCCGCGAGCCTCAAAAATCAAGAGCATTAACAAAAATGCGACAGAAATTTTTGGACACGTGGAAGCTTATATAAAGTGGAATATCCAACGCGGAAATTCTGCGCGGCCCGTCGAAGGGAAATGAAAATATTCAGAATGAATTGTGGTTCATTTCTTTATATAATTGAGAATTCACTCTTCTTGCATTTCTTACAGTGCAAGAACGCCTTACTAAGCAAATAGCAACGGCTATGGTCCAGGCAGTGCAACCAGCTGGAGTCGCTGTGGTGGTTGAGGCAAGGTGAGAACAGTTACTTCATTATACTCCTTCCCCATTTTTGAGGTTTGAGACAAATTTTGAATAGTATAACATTATTCACTAAACAATGCAAAACTTCTAATTTTTTAACAAATCGTGAACCACACAGCGCCTATTCAATTTAGGGCACCAAAACTTTTTGCAGCCGGCAATGCTTGAAGGCGTCGCCCATCCAGATTCTCGACTTCCATGTTTTAGTCGCTCCAGGGCCTTCTCATGCCCCTGA